AAGTTGGAGTGAGCTCTAATATGGCCCACAAAGCATGGCAGCTTTCTTTTGTGGAATAGCGTCTTAAATTTGTTGAAACATTTTGACTTGATTGTTGTTAGTTCCAATATTTTTACCAAAACTGTTACTATTCAAAGGAGTCAAGAACATAGATGTTCTTTCATGAAATGTATCCTTCATTAGCTTACTTTGAGAAAAAGCACTTTCAGGATTTAGTATTTTCACTTCATTAGCTTTAACTCCTGATGTTATTAGCAGCTGTGATATTTAGCATTGATTTCTTATAAGGAACTTTCAGGTAAAGCAACTCTTTCATAAGACAGCTAGATTTTTCCGTTGTTCCCATCTATAAAGCAGTCATTTCTTTTTTTGAATGCCTGTTTCCTTGTCTCCTTATTAGATTTGCAAAGGAATTACTCATTGCAGGCTGTTCGTTCAAGGCAAAGAATTTTTAATTTCAACGTAAGTTTTTTCATATCTAAGACAACGTTCACTGTATAAACTGCTTTCCCTTGTTGTAAGGATTTTAAAGTGGCTTGTTTGCTCTTATAGGCAGCTTTTGTCTGATCTGAGTTCTCAAGAGGTAAGATTAAGCTTTCTAGCATTGCTTTGAGAAGAAACTTCATTCTGAGCTGAAAAGTTTTTGGACAGTATCGCCATCTTTAGCTGAAATACTACATTTCCCCGAATGCATTTCCCTTATATCAGTCCCTTATTGCAAGCTAGCTTTTGGACTTCATTTCCCATAGTTCTTTTTGGGTCTGAGAGTCAACTTCTAAGTTCTTTTTTACCAGACTTGCTTACAAATTCTTGCCTGGGAGGTTTGAACAAAGTTTTTTGCTTTTGCAACAGGAGATTTAAACAAGCATTTTACATTTTCAACTATGGGACATTGGGAGATTCCTGGTCTCGCCTCAGCTGGCTTTCACAGGTGTTTCTCCTTCATCAGACACTGGGCCCGGATCAGAACCGCACCTGCCTCGTTAGTCGGCATTGAGGCTGGCATTTCTTATAGCAACTTTCCTTGCGGCTTGTGCTTGCCTTAGCCAGTCAGTGAAAAACATTTACAACAGAGCTTTTCCATAGCTCCTTCAGAGATTTTCTCCCACTGATCTCATTTTGCTTGTTCCTTCCCCCGCAGATGCAGAGCTTCAGCTATCTATCTGCGGCTCTGTACCTCTGCTAGCTGCCTTTGGAGGTAGGGGCTCTTTTCTCTCCCCCCCAATCTGCCTCAAACTCTTAGCAGCTTTTCACAGGTCATGCATTTTCTCGGGAGGATTATGTCCCTTCTGTTTCTTCAGAGTCTTTCTCCCTGACAGTTCCCAGTTTGGTCTCAGTTTATCTCCTCTACCCCAGAAACAGTTTCCAACACTACAGTGGCGGCTTTCCCTGCTACTGAAGGTAGGGGTTTTTCTCCGTTTGTTTTCGGGGTCTGTGTGGTTTGCGTACAGACTGAAAATCTAACAAGGGAGGTTTTTGCCATCTCTAAACTCCCATTAGGACAGGTGTTTTGCCTTATCAGGCCTTCACCTGGCCCAGTCCCCCAGTGGGTTGGGTTGTGTTTGTTTGGGTGCTCAAGGACAGAGCTTATGCCAGAGGCAATCACCCTTTAGGGCCACACTCCCTCATCTCAGGGAGTCAGTTGAAACAAAGCTTTTCTCAAAAAGATGCTTTCTCTAACAGAAAAGAAAGCTTTACTCCTGGATAGTTCTGTTCTGCCCTGGCTGGGCTCTTTCCCCAGACAGCGTTCTGACTCAGCAGCACAACTGCTTTAGACACAGTTCAGCTTTACTGTTTTCCCAGAAAGGTCCTTACTCTGATAGGAAAGCTTTTTCTCAGATTTCTTTTTGCAGCTGTGGACCTATCAACCTGGGACTTGTAGGAAAGCGGGCAACTGTGCCGTTCCCACTGGCTTTAGCTTTCTTTGTTCATTAGCAGTTTTCCCCTGGGTCCTGTACCTTCCTGCCTCAGCTCTGTGCTCCAGGAAGTTTACCACTGCAGGAACCCTAGTATCCAAAAAATGCACTCCAACTCAGAGACGCTGGTCAGTCGCCTCTGGGTTTTTGCTTGAGGATACAATGCTAACAGTTTGCACTGCTTCAGGGGATCTTTGCATTAGGACGATTAGGAGCACCTTTTCATTCTGAAACGCTCACTCAGAAACAAAACCCTTGATGCCTCAGCTCGGCTGTAATTGATAAGCTTGGCTTTTTTTCTTATCTCAGGTAAAGTTTCCTGCCCTTTTGGGCTCTCTTCAGCTCTTTACTCACATTCTCCCAAGCATTTCCCTCAGGGTACTCTGACCTACTGTTTTTTTTACTAGCTTGAAGAGACAGAGCTTAGAAGAGGTTTTTAGGAACTTGTCCCTGCCTCCTGCATTGCAGGGAGGATTGTTAAAGCTTGAAAGAACTTAGAGAGGTTTTGCTGTCTTCAGAGGTTTGTTGTTTTCCCTTTGAGCTAATCACAGGTGGTCCCCATACTAATATCTTCAGGTGATTCTAATTTTTGTCCTTCTGAGAAAGTTAAAGGCTTTAGTTTAAGTTTTTTGAGAGAGCTTTTGAGAAAGATTAAAGCTTTTTAGAGAGATTTTTCCCCCAAATTTTCCAAGAAAAACTTTTTAGTTTGAGAAAGATTTTTTTTTTTCCCAAGAGAGAAAGACCAACTTTCCCCAAAACTTCACAACTTTAAACTTTTTGGCTTTTTACACCCCCATTTTTGCCTCAGGGAGAAATCACTTTCTCCTGCTGTTTGGACTTAGCATTTCAGCTGTCCCCAGGACAAAAGCTTCCATAGGAAACTTATTCTTCCCGGTAAGCTCAGAGAAGAGCCTTTTTACTACCCTTAAAGCCCAAAGATTGTTTTCCCGTTTGCGTTCATAGCCCCCAAAGTTAGAAAATTGAAGAGTTTTTCTGTATAGTTGCCTTATTTTTTTCTACACAATCTTACACTTCTAAGTTTTTCCTACACTCTATTACTACTCTATACCTTATACTTATTTTTCACAGATAGAAATTGAGAGAGGGATAGAAGATAGAAAATTTTGACAGAAGAGAATTTTGCGCTGCAGCATCGGACATCCTTCCAGTCTGCTTTTCTTTTCTTTTGAGGATAAAACCCCTGCCCCTCAATAATACATATATATGTATATGTATATAAAATATATATTTTCCATAACACCGGCACGCCTTTCCACTGGCAGGGCTGACTCAGCACTTTCATCAAAACCTCTGTAATAAAACTATTATTTCCCTTTATCTTTAGTCCCTATCACTTTGTCTTTAGTCCCTGTTCATTTGTCTTAGTCCCCCTTTTTTTTCTTTAGTCCCTTTTTTTTTCTTTTTTCTTTAGTCCCTGTTCATGGCGCCATTCTGTGGGGCGTTTACCCACCAACCCCACAGCTCCCCAGAGTTTTCTTGAGTGTGAGCAGCAGGAAATATTAGATAGAAGGATTTATTGCGGAGAATATTGCAGAGATAAACAGATAGAAAATAAAGGATAGCCTCGAGAGGGCCTGGAACCTATTCCAATGGGCCCCAACTGTCTCTGCCCCAGGGTTTTTATAGAGACGCCAAGGGGTGGAGCAAAAGACCTCCCCCTCAGCACAGCTAAGTGCAGACCATCTCAGACACTTGTACTCAAGCCCGTGGTCCTAATCATCCTCTTTGTGGATCTGCTGCGTAAAACCACGAGGAACCCGAAAACGGGCTCCCACATATCCCTGGTGCATGAGCTGGCTTTTTGGAGCCCATTACCTATGGTGGGATGCCTTGCTCATCTTTGATGCAGGGGGAGGGGCTTGGTCCTGCCTCAACTGAATATACCAGGCTTTGCTGACTCCCCATGGGAGGCCTTAATCTTTTGGAGGAGGGGGTAGGGGATGGCAGGGGGGTACTGAGGAGGAGCAGGAGGAGGGATGAGAGGGGGATCTATGGTTGGTATGTAAAATAACAAATAAAAATTCCTTAAATTAAGAAAAAATGAACAAAGGGTTTAGCTGGGAATTGGTGGCACATGCCTTTAATCCCAGCACTCAGGAGACAGAGGCAGGTGGATCTCTGTGAGTTCGAGGCCAGCCTGGTCTACAGAATGAGTTCCAGAACAGCCAGAGCTGTTACACAGAGAAACCCTATCTTGAAAAACCAAAAAAGGAGGATAAGAAAGGGCTTATTTTAACTGATAGTTTAAGAAGAGGTACAGTCTAGCATGATGGGGAAGTGACAGTGGCAGAAATGTGAGACAGTTGGTCACACTGGGTCCCCAGACAGGAATCAAAGAGAGATGACTGCTGGCGCTATGCTTGCCCTCTCCTTTTATTCAGCTTAGGATGTCAGCTCACGGAGGTGCCTCCCACACTCAGGACAGGTTTTCCCACGTCAGTTGAAGTTCTCTGAAAACACCTCCATGAACATACCCAGGAGTTTTTCTGGTCTGTGATGCCAACCAATCAAGTTGTTAAGACCACCCATCACAGAGAGAACATTTTAATCCCGTCCACACAATTTATTCAAATTATTACAAGAACCATCAAAAGTGGAACTTCTCAAAATGTGATTGTGTTAAGTCACTGTGACAAAATACTCAAGTACAACATCATGAAGGAGGAAAGTGATTTGACTCATTGTCTGAAAGGTTCTAATCTACTGTGGCAGGGAGGGTGTGGCAGGGTAGAGCCGCTCCTGGTGACAGGGAACAGATATCCTGTGCTCTGCCTTGTTATCCTCCCTTCCCTCGAACCCCTGACCTATGGGATCATATCTCTCCATATTCAGAGCATGTTTTCTGCCTTAGTTAACCCTCTCTGTGCCCTCATGGACACACCCAGGGAGTGCTTAGACATCTCTCAATCTAATGTAGCCAAAATTAACCACCAATATGGCTCCTAAACCATCAGTACCATCACATGGGAACTTATCAGAAAAGTGAATTATTGGGTTTTCCCCCAAGCCTACTGTCTTGGTTTCTCTTCCTGTTGCTATGATAAAATACTCTGACCACAAACCTTATGGAAAAAAGGTTTATTTGGCTCACAATTTCATGTTATACTCCATCATTATGGGGAAGTCACATGGCAAGAACTTGAAGTAGCTAGTTAAGTTACATCCACAGCCAAAAGCATAGAGCAATGAATTAATGAATGCTGTATGCATGCGAGTATTTAGCTCACTTTTTCTTCCTTTTAAAAAATTATTTATTTTGGCGTTGGGGATTTAGCTCAGTGGTAGAGCACTTGCCTAGCAAGCACAAGGCCCTGGGTTCGGTCCTCAGCTCCAAAAAAAAAAATTATTTATTTTTATGTGCATTGGTGTTTTGTCTGCACATATGTTTGTGTGGGGGTGTCAGACTTCTAGAGATTTTGAACACATGAAATTTGAGGGACATATCCAAACCATAGCAATGTTCATAGATAAATATGATCCTCAATTTAAACTTCAAACCTTACAAAAATTAACACAAATTGGGTCAAAGATTAGGTGTAAATTTGTCACTATACTTAGAAAACAATGGGAGAAGATCTTCAGGAGGTAGGACTGGATGAAAGTTGCTAGATGACCCCCAAAGCGTAGTCTATTAAAAAAAAAATGATGAATGCCGGGCGGTGGTGGCACACGCCTTTAATCCCAGCACTCGGGAGGCAGAGCCAGGCGGATCTCTGTGAGTTCGAGGCCAGCCTGGGCTACCAAGTGAGTTCCAGGAGAGGCGCAAAGCTACACAGAGAAACCCTGTCTCGAAAAACCAAAAAAAAAAAAAAAATGATGAAAATTGACCATTCCAAGTGAAAACCTTTTGTTCTGAAAAAGATCCTATGAAAGGGTTAGAAACAAAGGGAGTGCTTGCAAACCGTGTATCTGACAATGTGCTGAAATCCCATCAATACAAAGAATTCTCAAAATTAAAATAAAGGCAATCAAATCAGAAAATGGACAAAGGCTCTAAGAAGTTACTGCACTGGAAAATATCTAGTTGCCAAGTAAGCGTGTGAAAATACTTTCAGCACCATTACACATTAGGGCGATGCAAGTTAAAGGCAGTGAGGAGTCTCCTATAGTGACCAGGACCTTTTCAAAGAGAGAGAGAGAACTCAAAACGTTGGTGAGATGTAGAGAATAGGGAGACAAATGAGAATGTCTCTCTTCTAAACTGCTGGGGATGTTAAATGACTCAGCCAGCTAGAGTAAGGCATTTTCTCATGGTATTCCATGTGTGTTCATATACAGCCAACAAGGGAGATGAGTTGCTGGTGAGTTGTTGAATATAAGCAAGCACGCCATACATACTGCGCGCGCGCGCACACACACACACACACACACACACACACACACACACACACACACACACGTTAAACATGAACCTGGAGAAGGTAGGTGGATTGCATCCACACCAATTTTGTGGTAGTGGTATTGTTTCTTACAATTACATGCCAGTGTACAGTGGTCTCAAAATTAAAAAGATGTTTTAAAAAATGTTTTGAGAACTGCAATGATATTTACTATATTAGAAATTAGGCTGGGCAGTGGTAGCACAGGCCTTTAATACCAGCACTTGGGAGGCAGAGGCAGGTGGATCTCTGAATTTGAGTCCAGCCTCATCTACAGAGTAAGTTCCAGGATAGTCAGAACTACGCAGAGAAACCCTGTCTCAAAAGAAAAGAAAGGAAACTTAGTAACTTATTTTTAATTAATAATAAACACATATTAATTTAAACATTTTTATGAACTATAGTTATATTTGGCATTGTTCTATAGTTTTGTAAGTCTATTTAATGTCTGACTTCACATATATTTGCTTCCACAAAATATGATAGCCATGCCGAGCAGCCTGAAAGTTTCTCTGGGGGTGCATATACTGAGAATGTAGTTCTGGGATAGAATGAAAGGTGAACAATGCCTTATTGTTACTATGAAAAAAGTTTTCAACCTCACAGACCCCTTCAAACAGCCTCAGGAACCCCCAAATCCTCAGCATACACACTTTGGAAAGCCCACATTACTGTGACCTTTAGTCCACATTTGCTCCTGCATGGACAGCTAGTGAGGCGGAACAGTGTGCTTTCATTTTTTCTATTCCAAATGCCTTATATAATTCTTGGTGCTAGGCAGATACCGAATAAACATTTGATGAACCAATGAAATGTTAATGACTCGTTTGCCAAGGACAGAGAGAGGGAGGGAAGGAGGGAGGGAAAGGGGGAGGGGGGAGAGAGAGGGAGAGAGGGAGAGACTGTCAATCTGGTTGACAGTTTATTACTGTAGACTTCTAGCTCTGAGTCAGAATAAAGGTCAGAATGTTCTGATCTAGTGTGGTCCAGGGAACAAACATTGTTCTGAGAGGCTCCTAGGGCATAAAAAACAGGGTACGGAGACTGAGCGGCCTTTTGAGAAAGGTCTCCCCAACGGTTTCCAGCCTTGCTCTCCAGGCCTCACCACACCATTCAGAACACGCACGAAGAAAAGGGACTTAGCAAGTTCTGTAGAAACATCACAAATGGCTCTCTCCTGATGTGCGTCTCTCTCATACTCCTGATTCCTTGGAATGTTCCCCAAGGATCCATTAGTGGCCAAGCTCAATTCACTGAACCCACAGCAGCTCTAGGAGAAGGAAAAGAATTTTGGGGGTGCAGTTTGATTATGAGTTTATTATTAGTTCTCTTTTTTTTTTAATAATCTTTTTTTTAAAGATTTATTTATTATGTATACAGTGTTCTGTTTGCATGTATCCCTGCAGGCCAGAAGAGGGAGCCTGATCTCATTACAGATGGTTGTGAGCCACCATATGGGTGCTGGGAATTGAACTCAGGACCTCTGGAAGAACAGCCAGTGTTCTTAACCTCTGAGCCATCTCTCCAGCCCATTATCTAACATATTAACCAAACCTTAATCCAGCTGGGGCACAGGTGAAGGTGCCATCTTAGAACAATCCTTGCAGGCTCCCACTCTGCTCTGGACTGTGAGAAGGTCTTGTGGAGAAACACCAATCAGGCTGGCCAAGCTTAGCCCCTGCCTCAGTGAAACCCCGCCCTCTGAGGGTGGGAACTCAGCTTTGTTGGCTGAGATAAAATATCCTAAGAAAAGCCGGGGGGTGGTGGCACACACCTTTAATCCTAGCATTCAGGAGGCAGAAGCAGGTGGATCTCTGAGCTTGAGGCCAGCCTGGTCTACAGAAGGAGTTCCAGGACAGCTAGGCTACACAGAGAAATCCTATCTCAAAGGAAATAACACAAAACGAAAAGTAACTTGAGGGAGACATGTTTTTTTTTTTTTTTTTTTTTTTTCCGAGACAGGGTTTCTCTGTGTAGCTTTGCGCCTTTCCTGGAACTCGCTTTGGAGACCAGGCTGGCCTCGAACTCACAGAGATCCGCCTGGCTCTGCCTCCCAAGTGCTGGGATTAAAGGCGTGCGCCACCACCGCCCGGCAAGGGAGACATGTTTTATCTTGGCTCTTAGCTGGAGGGTAAACTCCATCATGGCGAGGAAGTCCTGGCTACTGTAAGCACTTGAGGCAGGAGGTCAGGAATCTACAGTCATGGAAGACAGCTGCTCTCTAGCTCCCGTCTTGCCTTTTGATCCCATCCAGGACCCAAATCTGTTTTAAAGAAAAGGGAGGGATTTTTGCTAGGTGGCAACTGCAGAAATGACAAATTTCTTTAAAGACAGAGCTTCCTTCCATGCCGGGGCGGTGCCCGGGCGGTGCTGGCGCACGCCTTTAATCCCAGCACTCGGGAGGCAGAGCCAGGCGGATCTCTGTGAGTTCAAGGCCAGCCTGGACTACCAAGTGAGTTCCAGGAAAGGCACAAAGCTACACAGAGAAACCCTGTCTCAAAAAACAAAACAAAACAAAAAACAAAAAAAAAATAAAGACAGAGCTTCCTTTGTCTTGTTTAACTCTTTGACAGAAGAAGTAGCACATTTCATTTACAGTTCTGATGGGTAGAATTGTTTCTTTACTGTTACTGATGCCCCATCCGGAATGAATCAATGTTTGTTCACATAGCCCCAGGAAATGTCACACTACAGCTCCTAATTACCTTCTTCTAAATGATGAAATATAGTTTGGAGAAGACCACATAGACGCCACCTAGAGAAAGTGAATAGAAAAACAATTTTTGCCATAGCTGTAAGTCATTATATTGAGCGCTGTCCTCACTGTCAACTCTTCATGCATGTGTTCATACACGTGCAGTTGCATGCACACATTTGTGTGCTAGTGTCCTAACATTCATGTAGAGGCCAGAGAACATCCTTGGCCATTCCTCCTTAGGTTCTGACTACCTTGATTTTTGAGATAAAATCTCTCACTGGCTTGGGGCTTATCTAGTAGACAAGGCAGGTTGACCAGTTAGCCCCAGAAATTTACCTGCTGCTGCCTCTTCAGTCCTGGAACCACAAGCATGTGCCACTTTGTCTGCCTTTTTTAAAATGTGATTCTGGGAAATCAGACTGTTTCATGTTACCAGAGCACTATCCTGGTAAAAGAACCATTGTTGTTACAAGGCTAGCTGTGACTGCTTATGACAGACCACCATAGCTGGGCTTGTTGACTGAAAGGTAGGGGGTGGGGTAGATCACTGGACCTTGACCTGAGTGTCCAACCATTCCTCTCAGCCATATATACATAATTCAGCTTTAATTGCACATGGCCTCAGGGCCTCAGGAAAATGCTAGAGTACACAGGCTGTGGAAAGCAGTGGGAAAGGGCTCCATCTATGTGGCCATTGGGAAGCCATTATCCATGCTCTATAACAGACCTTCCACTCGGGCTGCTTCAGGATCACCCACACTCTGTCTGGCCCAAAACTCCTCACCCACGCTTTGTTCAGTGAGCCTAGTTTCATTGGTTCCCCAGAGTGAACCTTGTTGGAATCATACTTTGGAAGAAGAGAGGAAATGTTTACATTTCCTCAGGGAGAAAATTCTCACAACTGTCCTGAGCCAAGCATGCTGCTGACTGAGCTATTACGCCCGCCCTACACCCAGATTTTATGCAAATCTTTTGCAAGTTTTATGGGAAAAGGTTTCAAAAATATATTAAGGGAGAAAAGCTACATTGAATATTAGGATTCTGTGGCCAGGAATAGAAACCTAGAGGGGGAAATGGGAGAAAAAAAAAAAAGATCTTCAGGCTAAGAAAGCTAGCTGAAGTAATTTGGAAGCAGTAGGATCTAAATGCTAAAAAGGCACTAGATCGCAGGGTATATAGGATGAAAAAGTACGCAATCTAGAGAGTGACCTGGAAGATGCTGGACAGCAAAGATACTGAGATCCTTAAAAGAAAACCATCCATCAGTCTGGAATAGACCACTGAATGGACAATCCCTCTTTATGTCTTCACTAAGACCATGAGTTCTTGCAAGACGAGAGCTGGTTTTGTTCATCTGTCCCCAGGCTGAAAAAACAAAGCAAAAAGGGGTTTAATGAGTACTCATTGTACAAATAAGGAACATTCCATATTATTAGATATCATTTGTTACTAATTGAATTTTATTGTTTTTCATACCTGAAAAGATCATTTAAAGTTAATACCCCAAATACATACAGAAAATGTTCAGGTCATATAACATTACATTGAATGTGAAGGAGCCAACTGAAATTTTTTTCCTTGGCTTTTAGAGCATGATTTATCCAAATATTCCCTTTATGTATGCAAAACTAATTGTAACTACAAAGGTACACATGCCATGTAATTGCTCAAGATCAGGAGTTTTGGAATCAGATATGCCTAAGTTTGAATCCATCCATCATTTAGTGCTGTGGCCTTGAGAAAGCCACTTAACCTCTTTTTTTTTTTTTTTTTTTGCTCACATTCCTTAGGGAAATTAAGATAATGATAAAATATACCCCAAGATTTATTAGAATAATAAATTAGTTAACACTTAGGATGGTCTTAATACATATATAACTCAATTAATCTTCACAATTGTATATGCATATATTTTTTAATGATTTATTTATTCGTATTTTACATGTATAGATGTTTTGCTTGCATGTTTATCTGGGCTCCACATGCATGCAATACTCATAAAGGCCAGAAGAGGGCGTGGGATCCCCTGGGATTGTACCTACAGCTGGTTATGAGCCCCCATGTGGGTGCTGGGATAAAATTTGGGTCTTTGGCAAGAACAACAAGTGCTCTTACCCACTGGACCATCTCTTCAACCCCTATATATGTATTTTTAAATAAAATATGAGCTCATACTGTATATATCTCTCATGTTTTCTTTTTTCTTTTCTTTCTTTTTTGAGACAGGGTCTCACGTAACTCTGGCTGTTCTAGAACTCTCTATGTAGACTCAGCTGGCATCAAACTCACAAAGATCTGACTGCCTCTGCTTCCCAAGTATTCCATCGTGCCTGGCATTTGTTTTTCTATGTAACAAAATGTCACAATATTAAATATATGTATATATTTAAAATATGTATTCATACATGCAGAACAAGTCATTCTTTTGATGGCTATATTGCATTCTAATATATAGCTCTATATAAGCAACACCCTGCACGAGTGTTCCTAATATTTTAGCACTATAAATAACCACAATTCTGCAGCATATAAAGATTTTTATAGGTCGGTGCGAGCGTGGGCACAAGGGCAGAGGATAACTTCCTAGAACCTGTCCTTTCCTTCCACCCTGGGTGGGTTCTGGGAATCAAACTCAGATTGTCAGCTTTGAGTGGCAAGAGCGTCTACCTGTGAGCCATCACACTTCTCCTCCCCAAGTTTTAATTTTTACTTTTAATTTTGTGTGTGTTTGTGTGTGGCGAGTGTGAGGTATTTGAGTATTTGATACACATTCCTAGAAATGGAATTCATGAATCACAGTACATGAATTAAAGGAATTAAAATATTTTATTTAAAAATTGTCAAGTTGTCTTTTAAAACATTTTTAAAAGATTTATTTTATGTGCATAAATATTTATCTACATTTATATCTGTGCACCACATGTGTGCCTGGTGCCTGAGAAGACCAGGGGTGGATGTGAGATCCTTTGGAACTAGAGTTACAGATGGTTGTGAGTTACCACGTGGATACTAGAAACTGAACCTGGGTCCTCTGCAAGAACAGTCAGTGCTTTTACCCAACGGGGCATCTCTCTACCCCCAATTGTCCTTCTAAAGCGGTCTATGACTTTCCACTTGGACCAGCTAACATACTTTGTTGCATTTTGATTGTATATATTTTGGCCAGACTATAGTTTAACTCAATTAACTTACCTCAAATGTCCCAGTAGTTCCAAAGCTAAGGACTACATCTTGCTAGTTCTACGTTTTAGTTCTTTATCTTCTTGCAATATATAAGCAACCAAGGATTTATCAACCACTATTCGGCAACAAATATTCAGACACATGGACTGTAGAAAATGTTTGTGCTACTACCAGATTGGAAGGGATGAAATGCTGGTGTTTCATGGCCTTTCTGATGGCTAATATGGAAGAATGTTTGGAATTGAAATCATCCAAGTTTGGGAGAACAGTGGCCACACCTCCATCTTCCTGTTTTCTGTGACAGGCATACTCATTTAATGGACAAGAAGCCTTCAGCATGGAGTCTTACTAGTAACCTCTTTAGTCCAGTGTGTGATAAGGCTTGGCTGGCAATCCCCACATGAAGGTAGGTGAGACAACTGTACGTCTTGGCCAGAAGCTGATCAGCATCACCAAGTGGGAAGACTGGTAGTTAAGGCCTGTACACTCTTCTTAAAAATGTGTGTGTGTCTGTTGGGCAGTGGTGGCGCACGCCTTTAATCCCAGCACTCAGGAGGCAGAGGCAGGCAGATCTCTGTGAGTTGGAGGCCAGCCTGGTCTACAGAGTGAGTTCCAGAAAAGGCTCCAAAGCTACACAGAGAAACCCTGTCTCAAAACAAACAAACAAAACAACCAAACAAAATGTGTGTGTGTGTGTGTGTGTGTGTGTGTGCCACAACTGTGCAGGTACTGGAAGAGGCCAGAAGAGGGTGTCAGGTCCCTTTAAGTGGACTTAAAAGCAGTTGTGAGCCTCCTGATAAGGATATTGTGAATTAAACTGGAGTCCTCTAGAGTGGCAGCAAGTGCTTTTGACCACTGAGCCGTCTCTCCAGTCTCCTGCTTTTATTTAATAGCTATTTTAACTCAAAAGATGAACGCATAACATTTAAGAGTTAGATATCACTATGATTTGGATACTACCAAGGGACGAGGAGGAGAAAGGCTCTAGGTTGATCACTTAAACATTTAAAATGGCTGAATTCCTGCTTCTTCTCCTTCTCCAAGACAAAGACTTGGGAGGTTTTTTCCCCCAAATCCAAAAGGTGTTAATCAATGGAACTTTCAAACTTCTTGGGTCCTGTTGAAAGAGGCAATCAGTTTCTTTATTTTTGGATTATTCATTATGGTGGAATAACCCAAAAAAATCCAATTCTGAGAAAAGTAAGGGATTCACTCACTCCATCCCCCCAAAAAGTTTTGGCTTTGCTAGACACCATCTTTGGGTTCCTTCCCCATTAGGGGAACCTGTCTCTTTGTGTGCTTTGGTGAGTGTGTGTGTGTGTGTGTGTGTGTGTGTGTGTGTGTGTGTGTTTCTTTAAATTTTTTTAAAGGTTTGTTGTATTTTGTAAGTATGAGTATCTTTCCTACATACATGTATGTGCACCATGTGTGTGTCTGGTGCCCATGGAGGTTAGAAAAGAGCATTGGATCCCTTGGAACCAGAGTTACAGAGAGTTGTGAGCCAACACGTGTACTGGGAACTGAACCCTGGTCCTCTCCTAGAGCAACCAGTGCTCTTAACTACTGAGTGATCTTTCCAGCAGTATGTGCTTCTACTTTCACTAAAACTTGAGTCCTGAGACCTTGCTTTCCCTGCCCTTTTACTCATTAAACTGACAGAGAAAAGGAATCCTGCAACCATAAATAACCATGATGTCAGCATTACTCCAAAGCTAGTACGAACAATCCTGTCTTGTTGCCAATCCCAACCTGCTGTTGGTTGTTTTTGCTCTCCACCCAGCTCCCAAATAAATCACACACGGAGCTTATTCTTTCTTATGAATGCCAGGCCTTAGCTTGGCTTGTGGCTAGCCAGCTTTTCTTAACTTAAATTATCCCGTCTACCTCTGGACTTTTTCCTTTTCTTACTTCTGTAAATCTTACTCTTACTCCATGGCTGGCTGGGTGGATGGAAGGCTGGCCCCTACCATTCTCCTCTCCTTGTTCTCTTACTCTTTTTTCGATCTCTCTTCTCTCATTCCTTCTTTTTTTCCCCCAGATTTCTCCTTCTATTTATTCCCTTTGCCTGCTAGCCCTGCTTATCCTTTCTCCTGCCTTGCTATTGGCTGTTCAGTTCTTTAATAGACCATCAGGTGTTTTAGACAGGCAAAGTAACACAGCTTCACCAAGTTAAACAAATGCAACATAAAGGAATGCAACACATCTTTGCACCATTAAGCAAATGTTCCAGAGCATAAACAAATGTGACGCATCTTAAAATAATATTCTGTATCAACCTAGAGATAGTAACTTTAGCTCTACAGTTGCTGTCCCTTACCTGATTACCGTGACATAGCTCTCTCTCCTTTTTTTTTTCTCCCTCTTTCTTGCCCACCTATTTTTAAATTTTTTTTCTCAGATAGGGTGCTCTCCACCTTACAATCTTCCTGTCACAGTCTCCTGAGCTCTAGAATTACAGGTGCTCATCACAATGGCTGGCAAGTGTCACTTCTAAATGTCTTGTTTTGTTTTTTCAAAACAGGGTTTCTCTGTGTAGCCCCGGCTGTCCTGGAACTCACTCTGTAGCCCAGGCTGGCCTCCAACTCACAGAGATCCATCTGCCTCTGCCTCCTGAGTGCTGGGATTAAAGGTGTGCGCCACCACTGCTAGCAGCTTTTTTTTTTTTGATTTGAATAATCACCTCAGGTCTTATTTGCTTAGTGGCTTATATGAGTTCCAAGTCAGACCCACACTTGTTGCCAGATCTCAGACCCCAGCAGTCACCTCAGATTTACACTGTCTAGGATTAGGGAAATGTAAGGCATTCATTCTTAAAGTGTGATCCCAAGAGACTAGCAGATCAACTTGGACATCACTGGGACTGGAAAGAATTGCAAGTCATCACACCCTGTCTTAGTAAAGCTTCTATTACTGTGATAAACACGTTGACCAAAAGCAATTTGAGGGAGAAAAGCTCTATTTGGCTAAGCAACCACCATCTTGGAGAGTTCAGATTACCCCAGCTGGGTTTGCTGACTTGTTCACTATCCCTCATGGACAGCTGGGGGTGGTCATGTGACCATCACCTGAGTATCCATCCTCTATCACATGTTGTATGTATGCAACCTTGCCTTAATTGCATGTGGCCTGGAGGGTGGGGAGCTAGAAAATACAGGCTGAGGGGCTCCGTCTGTGTGGCTACTGGGAAGCCTTCAACCCTGCTGGGTAAAGGCTTTCCAGGCCCGGCCTATTGAGGGGAAGGAGCACCCACACTCCTGTAAGTAACCCCTCACCCATGCTCTGTAAGGAAACGTAATAAACTCATTGATTGCCCAGCATGAACTTTGGTGGAATACTGTCTTGATTTGTCATTGGGAGCTTAGGAGAAGGGGTAGTGGACATTGCTTACACCTCCCCCTGGAAAAGAATTTTAACAACAGACTTACTGGTTATGGTCCATCATCGGGTGAAGCCAAGAGAGGAAGCTGGAGGCAGGAATTGAAACAGAAGACATGGAAGAAGACTGCTTACTAGATTGCTTAGGGAGACTTCCTCAGCCTGTGTTCTTTCTTTCTTTCTTTCTTTTTTTTTTTTGTTTTTTTTTTTTGTTTGTTTGTTTGTTTGTTTGTTTCTCTGTGTAGCTTTGCACCTTTCCTGGAACTCGCTTTGTAGACCAGGCTGGCCTCGAACTCACAGAGATCTGCCTGCTTCTGCCTCCCAAGTGCTGGGATTAAAGGCGTGCGCCACCACCACCCGGCTCAGCCTGTGTTCTTACACCAACCAGGACCACCAGGTTGGCTGGCAACTCCCACATCGATCTTTAATCAAGAAAATGCCACACAAACTTGCCTACAGGCTAATCTGATAGAGGCAATTTCTCACTTGAAAGTCCCTCTTTTTTTTTTTTTTTTTTGGTTTTTCGAGACAGGGTTTCTCTGTGTAGCTTTGCGCCTTTCCTGGAACTCACTTGGTAGCCCAGGCTGGCCTCGAACTCACAGAGATCCGCCTGCCTCTGCCTCCCGAGTGCTGGGATTAAAGGCGTGTGCCACCACCGCCCGGCGGACCAAGCCACTTCTAATGCTGTGTCTTCCTCGTCAGGAAGGACTTCATTCCTCTGAATGAAGAACAATAAATCTTTCCTCCCTTAATTTGCTTTTTGTCATATTTTTGGTCTCAGTGTTGTACCTAGAGTCCCCCAAAGACCACTAAGAGACCCAATCCGATGCAAAAGCAGAGTCTTTGTATTGTTAAAAGTTAACTTGGGACTCTCCATCCATCTGACAGTAGCAGCAGAGCAGGAGAGACCCCAAGTAGAAATAGGACAGGGTTTTTAAAGCAAGGGGGCCTTGGGGTCTTCAGACTACATAGGAACAGACTCAGGATTGGTTTATGCGAGTGGCAATCATGTTAGTAACTTTTAATTGGCTAGGGTTAGCTGGGGGTTATAGTTACCATTTTTGGGCAGGCCTGGACAAGTCCCAGGCTTTGTTCTTGAGCCGCCATGGAGGCTGGCAGGTGCAGCACATACTGACTGTGGAGGCTGGCTCAGTGGCCCAGGCTCTGTCCTTGATCTGTAGATCTAAGTGAGTGAGGGGTCCCAGGCAGTAAACAACGACTGAACCTTGAGCAGTCAGAGAACGTGCAGAAAGGGAGCTACTGCAAGGACTATGTCTTTTGTTCATGGCCCTCCCAGAAACTGCTTGCTCAAGTCTCAGAAAAAACTGAAATTGAGGCCTGATCTCTGAGAGAAGACTGAGCAGCCTGTTATGGCGTCTGCTTGGTCCTTTCATCAGATATGAGAAAATAGATAATATAGAGTCTATGGAGTTACAGTTTTGTTACTCAGGGGAAGCTTCACAAACTAGCTGCTTGATCCCCAGGCTCTTCCCAGTATCCCTTGTTCAAGTATCACTCCATTGAGGTCCCCACTTCAAGTGACTGTCTCCACTATTCCTTCATCTTGGAAGTCCTCCTGTATCCTGGTACTATCATCTACCAAGGATGGTAGATAGTAGATGAGGATAGCGCACTCACCCGCAGTTCACCCTATAATAATCACCATTCCACAGGGTGGTCCAGAGCAGCCCTCTATCCCTCCTCCAACTTTCCCCCAGCCTCTGGAGCTACCAGCTCTTTACTTATTTCTTCTTCACTCTTCTCCTCCCCAAATCTTTCTCTACAAACCAGAACCCCCCACCTTCTCATGGAACCCAAGCCAGGCCTGGTGTTTTGTGTGTGTGTGTGTTTTTTTTTTCCAGAGCTGAGGACCGAACCCAGGGCCTTGCACTTGCTAGGCAAGCACTCTACCACTGAGCTAAATCCCCAACCCCTTGTGTGTGTTCTTAATCCCTTGGAGTGTGAGCATGGAGAGGGGGGCTGGATTCCCAGTTCCAGCTTCAATCTTCAACCTGCTCACACTGGGGGCAGTCTTTTTTTTTTTTTTTTTTTTTTTTTTTGAGACAGGGTTTCTCTGTGTATAGTTTTGGTGCCTGTCCTGGATCTCACTCTGCAGACCAAGCTGGCCTCGAACTCACAGAGATCCGCCTGGCTCTATCTCCCGAGGGCTGGGATTAAAGGTGTGCGCCACACCGCCCCCTGGGGGCAGTTCTTAATATGACTGAGCTTCATTTCTCTTACCAGAAAGGTGTGGCTGTGTGTAGTAGCCTATCATCTCAGTAAGCCCTAAACCCTTACCATAGTCTCTGCTCCTGCCTCGTTGTGGGTCCCCACACACCTGTTTCCTACTGCTTTTACCTGTCCCACTCTCTGAGTTCCTGACCCACTGGCTTCTTGGGGTTCTTTCACCTCAGGGACTTTGCATTTGCTCTCCCATCTGACATGGAATACTTCCATAGTAGAGGTACATTTGGTTGTTCTTTTACAGAAATCAAGTCTTTGCTCAATGGCCCCCTATTTTCCAAACCATCCATTCTAAAATGATACCTTGCCCCACCCCTAGCACCACCTTGCTAAACCCAGGGAGGGTATTAAGAGCCTGGGGCCTTAGTTCCAAACCTAGTTAAGAATTTTCACCTTCACTTGGGCAGTGGCGGCACACGCCTTTAATCCCAGCACTCGGAAGGCAGAGCCAGGCGGATCTCTGTGAGTTTGAGGCCAGCCTGGTCTACAGAGCGAGATCCAGGACAGGCTCCAAAACTACACAGAGAAACCCTGTCTCAAAAAACCAAAAAAAGATTTTCACCTTCATCTTCATTGTCTGTAAACTGTACTGGGCAATCTGTCAGCTGCAGAAGATTCATACCCATAGTCCTCCCAAGACCTGCATGCCCAACCTCTCCAAACTCAGGGGAGGACAGTCAAAGGAGAGAGGAGTGGAGGCAGGCTGTGTCACATGGCACTCTGGTCTCAGAAACTTCTCCTTTAAAACACAAATCTTCATGGCTGTGGGACTTGGGCTTTGTTTTTCAACTTTTTTGTTTGTTTTTTAGGACAGGGTTTCTGTGTCGCCCTGGCTGTCCTGGAACTCACTCTGTAGACCAGGCTGGCCTCGAACTCAGAGATCCAACCACCTGCTTCTGCCTCCTGATTGCTGGGATTAAAGGTGTGTACCACCACCAGCCAGCATCGTTGTCTTTCAACGTTTAATTAAGCTTTATTGTGGTATAATTCACAAATTCGATCACCTTTGTGCCGCTCAGCAGTTCATTCCTCCCTGAAAGTCAACAACTGAAACTTCTGCTCCCAAAGGCTAGTGACTACGCTTTATATTAATAGAATCACACAGTAGGTAGTATTCCCCCCCCCACTGCTCCCAAAGGCTAGTGACTACGCTTTATATTAATAGAATCACACAGTAGGTAGTATTCCCCCCCCACTGTTCCCAAAGGCTAGTGACTACACTTTATATTAATAGAATCACACAGTATGTAGTACCCCCCTATTTTTAGAGGTAAAGCTAAAAGGTGGATGAACATAGACTGAACCCATGAAAAGGCACAATTTGAGGTATTCTAGCATTTCCTTTTAAAACCACCACCACATAAAATAATGAATATATTTTTCATCCTAAAAAAGGTTTTTCTTCTATTTTCCATCACGCACTCTCCTGTATAAATTAGGTCATATTTCTTTCCAGAACTGTGTAAGAGTCACCCGGCACGTGTTCTTTTGTGCCTGGATTCTCCCACTCAGCAGTATTTTGATTCATCCATGCTGTCGAGTCTCAATTCCACTTTTGTTCCCATTGTATGGAGATGACACAAGTTGTCTATTTATTTATTGGTGAACACAGGAGTGTCTTCCAGTTTCTGGACTCTCATAGGAAGAGCCACTATGAATAGCTCGATACAAAAAGTCTATTTGTGAATCTAAGTTTTCATTTACCTTGCTGAATACCTAGACATGGCATTAGCTGGGCCACAGGCAGGCACACAGTGAACTTGGAAAGAAACTGACTTTTAAATTTTTATTTATTAGTGTGTGTGTGTTTCTCAAGGCGCCACAGGCTCTTTGGTCAATCTCTGTGCTCAGAAGATAGAAAATGCTCATAAATGTTAGCCATCAAGCATAGCAGTGAGTGAAGGGTACTTTAGAAATTTAAGCAAGTCCAAAATAAAGAATAAAATTTGAATCCAGGATTCACTAGGTGATTCAACAGCTGCAGAAGATTCCTATCTTTCAACCTCCGGGTTTCACCCCAAATCTTTGTGTGAATGTGGGCACCAGGGGAGAGGCCAGAGGACAACTTTGTGGTTCTCTTTCTACCTCTCTGTCGGCTCCAGGAATTGAAATCTGGTCAACGGGTTCACATGGTAAGTGGCTCTACCACTGAGCCATCACCCAGGCTGTTTCACATTCTAACAGTCTCTGTAACTGACTAAGGTTTAGCACCAGTTTTGTCCTTACAGCATCCCTTTGGGGCTTGCTGCTGCTTCTCCCCGCAATGCCCCCACCACTAGTGACGGCAGGACTAGTTTCTTGCCATTTATCAGGCAGACCAGTGTCATTTTCCAGACACTGCTACCAAATGAATTACACCCCTATCTCAAAATCATGTGAAGTTACAACCCCCAATAGGTTGTTAACCATATTTGGAGATAACACCTTCAAAGAAGTTTAAATTATCAAGTGTGGTGGCACACACCTTTAATCCCGACGCTTGGGAGGCAGAGACAGGCAGATCCCTGAGTTCAGGGCCAGCCTGGTCTACAGATCAAGTTCCAGGACAGCCAGGGCCACACAGAGAAACCCTGTCTCAAAAAAGGCAAAACCAACAACGAAGAAAAGAAGTTTAAGTTAAAATGAGGCTGTTGGAACCCTAATCCCATAGGATGGGGACTGATGACTGGTATATCGGACTAAAAGAGAAAGGAAAAGCATATAAACAAAGACATGGTATTGTTAATGGTCCTGATTTTGATCATTGTATTGAGATTGTGCAAGAAAATCTTTGCCCTCAGAAATAAAATATATAGAGATAAAGGAGTATGCTATCTAAATTTATAAAAGGATATACACATATACAAAATGTATACATATGCATGTACATATGTCCATAGAACATGAAAATATAGCAAAACAATGTAATTCTGACAAAAAGAGTGAGACTTCTCTACTAGTCTTACTCTGTGTTTGTGCACTTGACACTTAACAGACACAAACATCGGGGGCTTTCGGTGCGTGTGCTATCTTAAGTGGTGTAGCCCCAGATTCCAGAAACTAGTGCATTCTTTTACAGTACATTTCATCTATCTTGTTTGACTACAATGTCTACCATTTATTTTGCAAAGCTCCGTTCTGGTCTCAGTACTTTAACTCTGTAAACTCTATGAAGACACAAGGTTGATTGTCTCCTCCAGTGGCAAAGAACCACAATTAGGGCAAAGAATGTCATGCCCACTGCTCTTTCCCCAGACTTAAAACAGCATGTAGCAGAAACTCTAGTTATGCCCTTCAATATCTAGAGATTCAGCTAACAAATATTGGACATCTAGGCATTAGGGTACAGAGCAGGGCACGAAATATTTAAAAATCCATGCATAAGGGCTGGGGGGTGTATGTAGTTCAGTTGGTAAAGTGCTTGCCTAGCATGCACAAAGCCCTGAGTTTGATTCCTAGCTATGTATAAACTGGGTGTGGAGCTGCACGCCTTTAATCTCATTACTCAGGACAAGAAGGCAGGAAGAAAAGTTCAAGATCATTTAACTACATAGGCATTGTGTGCTCCCTCCCCCTACAACTGGGGGCCGGGGTGGAGGGGATCCAAATCCAACCCCAAAGCAGCTTATATCGGGGCACTCAATTAGTCAGCCATCGTATTTCATTTGGTTCTTTGCAACCTCGGGAGTAAGGACCACCCTGTTTGGCAGAGAAGGATATTGAGGATTACGTGCGGCTGAGATCACTGGGGTCATTAGTGGGCGTGAGGATCAGCATTCTAACCCAGGCCTGAGCTGTGAATCAATCAAACCTAAGCCATTCACCCAATCAGCATAAAGTGCAGGCGTGGAGCTACTATGCAGGTCAGACGCGGAGAGGGGTTTGCAGAGCGCAGACGACTCGCGAGGGCCCTCTGTACAAGTCGCGGGATTTTGGCGCGCTCTTTTTGTTGGCTGGGTGTTCTTGCCGGTGATTGGTTCCGGACTGTCGCGGCTGCTGGGTCGATCTCGGTTGTACAGAGGCGGCACGGCCCTGGGCTGGCCTCCTGGGGGATGGGCCACCAGGAATCTCCACTGACCAGAGCAGCGGCGGGAGGTGCAGCTTACATAAAGAGGTTACGTAAAGTGCTCAGCTGGCGCGAACTCGAGGGCAGCCACGGGGATCTGGAAGCCCAGGCCTCCCCCGGGAGCGTTGCTGTCACTGCAGGAGCAGCGCCGCGACCGGCTGCACGTCTCGCCCGGGTCACCGCCTCGCGCCCTACTCGGCTCGGCAGACAACCTCGGCTCGGAACGGACCATCCTCCGGCGCGGGCTCCAGGGGGGAACCGGTCCGCCCGGAAGTGGAACAGCGCCGGGCAGGTAAGAGCGAGTGGAGGAGGAGAGGCCGCAGCGGGAGACCCACAACCCCGCAGCACTCGGGGAGGGCCGCGGGGGTCTCGGTTTGTTCTCGGAAGCCGAACTTTTTTGCCCGTCTCCACCCGCTGTCCCCAGGGGCTTGGGTCGACCCGCTGGGCCCGGTAGGGTTTAATTCAAAGGACTGTTTACACCGGGAGAAGTCCGGGCAGGACGCGGGGAGGGGCTGTTGGGAGCGGGTTAAGCATCAGGAAAGTTTGAGCAGGCCAAACGGCCTCTGAAGACGGTTGTCTTAGGTGGTGAAGGTCCCTACTGCCTTTTTTTTTTTCTAGTCTTGACGGATAAATCAATGGAGAAAGGGGACGGTTTGTGTTGGGTTTCCGGTCCTCCCTCTGTACTTCCCGGTGGTTCCGTCTTTCCCGCTTTCCTTTCCCCTCCCCCGTTCAATCCGACGCGGTGGCTCCCTCTTAAAGGGGCCGCGGCGGGCGGCGGAGGTGGGACGCTGGACACTTTTCAGCTCCTTGTCTGCCCTTCTCGGCCCTAGTGGTTTTAATTGATTCTTTCGCCCTCAGATCACAATCCAAGGTACCGCTCCTCCGCATCTCGGGGCTAGACGGAGGGATGAGGCAGGGGGGGCCCGGGCGGCGCCGTTGCTGCTCCCCCCGCCTCCCGCAGCCATGGAAACGGGGAAAGAGAACGGAGCCCGCAGAGGGACAAAAAGCCCGGAGCGGAAAAGGCGAAGCCCAGTGCAGCGGGTGCTCTGCGCGAAGCTGAGGCCGGCGGCCCAGGCCATGGATCCCGCTTTGGCCGAGGCCCCGGGCGAGGCCTTCCTGGCCCGGCGGCGGCCAGAGGGCGGCGGCGGCGGCGGCGGTAGCCCTGCTCGGCCGCGCTACAGCCTGTTGGCAGAGATCGGGCGCGGCAGCTACGGCGTGGTTTATGAGGCTGTGGCTGGGCGCAGTGGGGCCAGGGTGGCAGTCAAGAAGATCCGCTGCGACGCCCCCGAGAACGTGGAATTGGCGCTAGCTGAATTCTGGGCCCTGACCAGCCTCAAGCGCCGTCACCAGAATATCGTGCAGTTTGAGGAGTGCGTCCTGCAGCGCAACGGGTTAGCACAGCGCATGAGTCACGGCAACAAGAACTCACAGCTGTACCTGCGCCTGGTGGAGACTTCACTCAAAGGTAGACTACTGCAGGCAGTCCTGCCCTCTCCTGGACCCCCTTGTTCTCAGTACCGCTCAGCCTGTCTCTGGCTCACTCAGGCCCTTGCCCAGGCTTTGGGACCTTCTCTTCCCTTGAATGCTGCAAAAATGAGTCTGTTCCCCAAACATTACCTGGCATTCTGTAACAAGCTCACTAAGTGCCAGCCATGAGCCCTCTAAGTATTCACTCAGTAGGTGTGAGCCATAATTACAAGTCTAGCCTTTTAAAGATAGAGGAAGAGTAGGATTCAAAAGTTATTGACGAACTGCAGAGCCCCCTCATGCCTTTTCTCTTCAAAACATTGAGGAAAAAACTTAGTGGACCCACCCACCCATGCTCTCCTGGCTTTTGGTTTCCTGATATCTTCCAGCTCCATTCCCAAACTCGTGCTTTCAGGTGTGGTTTCCTGAGAACTGCAACCCTTCACCCCAGGGCAGACAGTCATTCAGTTGGTTCTCACTTAGTCCCGGAGGCATGCAGGTTAATAACTCACAGAGTAATAACCCCCACAGGTGGGCCAAGAGCTTCGGATAACAAAACACACTTACATCTTTTCCTGCCAATTTACAATCTCAGTAGTTTTCATAACCTCTAGGGATGACTGAGAAGTGGTTCTGTAGAAAATGGGGCTTCTGGAGGCCAAAGGGGCTTGCATTCCCGGGTGAACTACAAAAGGTGAGAGGCAGTGGACTAGATAAGTCTGAGGCTTCCTGTGGCCAAAGAGTCCATGGGAAAAAAGACTAATCCGAATCCCAGCTATAATCTGAGCTCTAAACAATTGTAGTTAATATCTGTGAAAGTAAATTCTCTCTCCAGTCTATAAATAGAGAAACTACGGCTTAGAGGGGAACAAACACAGCTTGATTAAGGTTAATCAGCTTGAAGGGGCGAGACTCCTGGCTTCAAGTTCTTGTGTCCTTGAAGCAGAAATGTTTTGAACCCAGACTTGTCTGTATTCAGAGATCTTCGCAGCTGCAATACTGCCTTCCCCACCTAAGAATGGGTGGGACTAGATAGGGTGATTTCCTAAAATCTTATTGGAGCATCTGTCAAATTTTGCTGTAAGACCCCAGGAGAACCCCTTGTAGAGTTTTGAAGTAACTTAACAATGGATTGGATGGTGTGATCTATTTCTCCGGGGACCCTTTCCCATACTGCTTGTCCATTCTGAAAAGGCCTTCATTTCCAGGAGGGTGGATGCTTTTTCTTTCTTAAAGACTTCTTAGGGTGAGTTTTCTACTTTGCCTGCATTCTTATCACTTATTTTCTTAGCCCTTTTATACACCAATTTCTTGATGGTGTACAAATGAATGAAACATACTTAATGAATGGTTGGTGTTTTCATATTTCAATGCCCTGGAGTTTGGGGCTTACATGCATGCAGTCCTGGCTTGTTCTGAACTGATACATGACACTGGACAAGTTGAAAACCCATGAGGAGAGTGTCTTTAAGATGGGGTATCTCTGTCATGAGGTGGTTGTGCATGCTGGGGATGTCAGTAATATTCCATAAGGAATTCACTGCCACTTTAAGTTCAGAATACTTTCTGAATTTCTTCCATCTTCATCCTCTTAGAGATTGGGGTGCTTACTGAAGTTTCCCAGACTTTGACTATGGAACACATTTCCTGTGTGGTCAGAAGAGTAGGTTGAAAGCAGTACTAATTTTTTTTTTTTTTTTTTTTTTTTTTTTTTTTTTTTTTGGTTTTTCGAGATAGGGTTTCTCTGTGTAGCTTTGCGCCTTTCCTGGTACTCGCTTTGGAGACCAGGCTGGCCTCGAACTCACAGAGATCCGCCTGCCTCTGCCTCCCGAGTGCTGGGATTAAAGGCGTGCGCCACCACCGCCCGGCATGCGCCACCACCGCCCGGCTAATTTTTTCAACCTCCCTTTGTGAGCTAAAACTAGAGAAATTCATTTTTTTCCTTTGGGCTGATACTCTATTGTTCGTTTCAGTCTGGGGTCCTAATATACATTATCTCTACTTACGAAAATGACAGTCAAGCGTACATTGTTGTAAGTCATAGGTCAACTTAGCAAAGAAAATAGTACCTGGCCAGATCCTGCTTGCTGACACTAGAAGTATCTGTCCTATGGCCCTGGGTTTTTAGCATGTTGTCCAGTGATATTAGAGCTGAAGAGAGTACTAGATAGCCAGGAATAACTTTCCTTAAACCCAGAAGTTCTTTGCGACCATTCTTTGCCCTGTTTCTTGTAAGTTAGAATTTTTTTGAGATAGCCCAAAATGGTTATCTACATTGGCATCTTTCAAACGTACTTTTTTTTTTTTTTTGGTTTTTCGAGACAGGGTTTCTCTGTGTAGCTTTGTGCCTTTCCTGGAACTCACTTGGCAGTCCAGGCTGGCCTCGAACTCACAGAGATCCACCTGCCTCTGCCTCCCGAGTGCTGGGATTAAAGGCGTGCGCCACCACCGCCCGGCTAAACGTACTTTTTTAACTGCATGCCTCTGGTAGGACTGGAAAGGAAACAAGAAAACAAAACACATTTTATAGCCTTTATGGATATTTGAAAAGTTTGAGTGCATAAATAGAGATCAGGGTTAGCTCGTTAACCAGGGCTTTGTAGAGAGCGTTGTAGAGAGAATTAAGAGAAAAAGAATGAAGAGTTAGCAGAAAAGGTGGTCTTGAAGGGCTAGTGCCCAGGCTTTTAAGTGGCAGAGTATTAGAACAATAGACTAGTTATTTCCCCCTCTTACCTCAGCTTCTAGTGAATACACAGAAAACAGTGTTATAGTTTACAGAAATAACTTGATGAATAAATAAGTATCCACAATAAATTAAAAAAACAAACAATTAGAAAGAAAAACTGTGTTCTTGGTCATATCCCACTCTGTTAGCGTCTGTGCATTAAATCTTTCTGAGATGGACCAAACAAGTCCTACCCACAAGTACAGCGTGGCCAGAATATCTTATACCTCTTTGGGCCTTTTGCGGGAGAACACATTATGGGGGATAGGATTCCATGTAGCTCAGGCAGGCTTCGAGTTTACTATGTCCAAAGATGACTTTGAACTAAGGATTCTCTGCCTTCAATACTAGGGCTAAAGGCATGCACCATCATACCTTTTATGTGCTGTTGAGGATTAAACCTAGGGCTTCGTGCACGCTGAGTAAACCCTGTCCCAGTGGTGTTCTCTCCCCAGCCCTTAGCCTGTTTCACAAAGAAAGAAATAGGAGCTCTGAGAGGAGGGCAGGACTTGCCTAAAATGAAGTGATGGCGCAACACTAACTAGCTCTAGGGCTTTAAAAAATGATTACCAGCTCTATAAATGTGATTGATAGGTTAGCAACTGTGTCTTCCGCTTTGAAGTCCTTCAGTGAAAAGGAGAATTAAGGCTTCAACAGTTGCTTTTATCACCTAGTTTTCCATCCCTAGAAACCCCTGTCCTGCATGTTCTTAAAACAAAGTTTAAGGTCATTGCCACTTAGAAAATAGCAAGCAAGCCTTACTCCTTTTCACACTCAAAGTTGTTGTCCCAGTCTAAGTCCTTCTGACAAGCAGGTAAAGATTGACCCTATGTACCCTACACACATACAAATTCTGCACTAATTCTCATAAAAATAAAATTTAGAAGAGCTGGGAGGCCAGCTTACTTGTTATTTGATAAGCTCTGATGTCTACTCAAAATTCTTTTGTTCTCAAGATGGGTTTGACCCAGGCATTTGGGCAGCAGTCTTTGCCACATATGAATGCTGCTGTAAACCAGGTTGCTGTGTAAGAGGCTTTGCAGGCTTCCCTTTATAAGACCTGTACACCTAAGAGATTACGCTGCAAGGTCACAAGTGGTGGCATCCTAATAAACAGGGTCTTGTTGAGAGTTTCGTTAGTGGCCTAGCGAAGCAGGGACAGAAGTAGCTGACACGGGACCTAGTGTAGGGGACCTAGTCTGGAAATGAATTAACTGCAAACTTCCTGAGTGCCTAAGGAAACCAGCCTAAGGGGCTCTGAGCAGGGTAGTCATCTTTTGCCCAGACTTCAGCAAAGCAACTCTGAATTCTCTGCTTCTGTGGCTTGGCCTTGGAATGTAGAGACCCTCCAGGTAGACAGAATTGGATGGTCTTTGGCTGTTTTGGCATAGATAAAAGTGGCATGGGGGACTTTCACAATTAATGGGATACAATAGGACAATGGATTTAGGGTCCAAAGGTTTTATTCCCAATTTTACTAAAATTTGCTGGATGAAGCCAGTTGTGGTGCTCTCATCTGTAAACCCAGCACTTGGAGGATGAGATGGGAAGATTGCTTTGAGTTCAAGGTCAGCCAGGACTAGAGAGTGAGTCCTAAGTCATTTTGGGCTGAGAGTGAGACCCTGTCTCAGAAACAAATAAAACTTTGCTGATAAGTGTCAAGTGCTGTTGTAAAGGCTTGTACCATAGCTCATTCAGCTGTCCTGAGCATCTCTTGAAATGGATACTGTGTCTTTTTTGCAGGTGATGTATCCAAAACTAGTGAAGTGCATGAAGTTGTATAGTGTAAAATAGCTGAAGAAGTAACTGAACTGGGGGCTCAAGTGCAGACCTTCTGATTTGAGTTGTCTTTTAACTGCTAAGGGGGTATGCTGGAGAACACGGCTTCAAGTTCAGAATTGTGTTTTGTTGTTTTGGTTGTGAAATGTATGTAATTATACTTTACCGGCAGGATTTAGTACTAATGTATTAATACACACTAATGACTGCTGTTTGTTGAATTCAGTGTTATCCGTGCTTATTGCACGGCTTTCTGTTGGGGCCTCCCGAGTATCTCAGTAGCCAAAGACACTGCACCTGCTTTCTGACCTGTTCTTGGATGCCTTGGGGCAATTGTACAGACTTTTCTCTTGCTACTGCCTGTTTTCCTTCTATGTGTAGGGATTTTAGGAACCAGCCCCAGGAGATAGAAGCCACCCTGTCTTAATTGAGAACATTGATTAATTGGGGTTGCATTGGGTAAGACTTTTTCTAGGGTAAACTCTCAGGGAGAGCTTCACTTCCCTCATAGAGTATCAGTTCACCTTGAATTTGTTCTTCAGTCCTATCCTTAGGGCTAGGAATCCTCCTGAGTAACTCAGATTCTCGATCCTTATTTAGCTGCATCCTGATGAGTAGCTCTCACAAAGCACATTTAAGTCAATCAAAATCCTGTACCATAAAAAGGAATCTGTATTTTCTGTAGTTGGATAATTCAGCACTAGGGACTTGATGAAGCTTAAGTTGCTTGGTGTATGCAAGAGCCAGCATGTAAGGAGCTTGTGTAACAAGAAAAATAGAATATTGAAGTGTGAAATTGCTGTTACCACCATGAAACAATAGAGCTTTGAGTGAGGATTTCTGAATCTTGCCCCCAGTTAGCTTCAAGACTACAGACAAATAGTTAATCTTTTGAGCCTCAGTCTTCTCACCTGAAAATAGGGTATAATTATTAGGATTAAGGGTATAGTTATCAGGATTACAGTTTGGAGCAGAGACAGTTGGAGAGAATGCTTTGAATTCTTTGATCATCACAGGAGATTAGTTACTAAATTCTTATGTAAGCCTTCAAATCTTTCCCCTGTCCCTTTCCAGCTCCCTTCCCATGGCAGTCCTCACCCAGTTTAGAGTCTCCTGATGACTTAGCTGCTCATCTGTCTTCCCCACCTCTCGGCCTTCAGAGGGAACTTGGTCATCCATTGTCTAAGATATGATGCCCTTGCACAACTTAACCTCTCTGGTCTGGCTAGAAAGTCAGCTTCAGCTATCACAGCCCAAGAAATGTGATGTTGTCAATGGAGCAATCTACCTTTCTTTTTGGTTCTAAATTTCCTATTTTGCCTAACATGTAACATAGTCTATGGGCAATATTATAGTACTGAGAAATCAATGATTTCCAAGCTGAGTGTGGTGGCATACCTGTAATTCCAGTACTGGGGATAGCCTAGGCTACATACAAGACTCTGTCTCAAAAACAAAAAACAAACAAACAAAAACATCAGGGCTGGAGAGATGGTGCAGAGGTTAAGAGGATCTTCCAGAGGACCTCAGTTTGGTCCCCAACAGCCACATTAGGTGGCTTACAGCTGCCTGTAACTCCAGCTCCAGGGGATATGATGCCCTCTTCCGGCTTTTGCAGTTGCATAACAACCCCCCTCCCCATTGATTTTTGAGGGACCTGGGCTTTGGGTTGTAATGAGGATGTTAGTGATGGTCAGTAGATAATTCTCCAAAAGTATCTTATGATCTGCAAAATTTGTTGCACACCTGTGACTTAATTCACTGGAACCTTGCCGGGTAATGTTAAATTCTCAAATTTGATGGGTAAGAATTCTGAAGCTCAGAGTTCATGGATTTTTCCAAGGTTCTGGTTATCTTCCATTTGTGCCAATGAGCTGTACATTAGACTAGAGGGTAAAGTTGAGGTCTGGAGTCATTCAGACTCTAGTTCCTGGTCTGTGTTCATCCTGTTTCCTTCATTTTGACTTGTTTCTCCATAGAAATTCATAGAAATTCACTCAGTACCAGACAATGTGTCTTCTCCCTTGGTCTTGGTCATGAATTAGCAGAGGCTCAGGCAGGTAGTCTGCTTGAAGGAAGGACTGGATGTCTCTTCTGTGTTCTGGGTGGGCAGCTGGGACTCCTGCATGAAAAGATGCTCCAGGAAAGCATGCTTCTCCTGAAGGAGGCCCAGACCCTTGCCTGCTCAGAGAAGTAATCCCGCAGTTTTTCCATGTGGTTTGGTCAGTGATGTTGTACAGGTTCTGAGAAGGCTGCTTCCGCTCAGCATTTCTGTCAAAGGGCTCCTCTAGCATCTCCAGGCTCTATCTGCCCCACCCGTAGACTAGCTTAGGGCACTTTTTACCTAACTTTTCTTTCCTGAATTCTTTCTTTTGACCTGGAACTCACTTTGTAGACCAGGCTGGCCTCGAACTCACAGAGATCCACCTGCCTCTGCCTCCCGAGTCCTGGGACTAAAGGCGTGCGCCACCACTGCCTGACTCCTTTCCTTGGATTCTTACAACCTAGATCTGTGTTATAGTTCCTTTGGCCAACTTGTTTTCTTTTATTCCCCTTAGTCACCATAGTTACCAGCTTTGTGTATAAAATAATAATTTCCCTATCCGTGTCTGCTATTAGAAGTTTAGTTGCTATCTGATGTCGTCTTTACAGAAGGAATTTGATGACTTTCTTCCCTGGCTTTACTGTCAGGGAACATTTCTTGCTGTCCCTTTTCTGTCTCTTACCATCTAGATGGGTTTGGGCTTCAGGTTGTGGCTTCATTTTTCTGTTTGTTTTTTTTTTAGGTAGACTCAGCCTGCTTGCTAGTGACCAAAAGAGAATTATAGAGCAGGGAGTGGGGTTGAGGGAACAGTGCAACACTGATCGTAAAAAGAAGCCATATGCCCTGAACTGGTTCTGTCAGTGTTAACTTTGATTGTGACTAATATAAACAAACAAACTGTACAATTACAAGGGAAGTAAGGTCTGTCAGATTGTGGTTAAAACCAAAAACTTTTGCCATATCTCCTCCTATCTTTGTCTTTGGTAGACTTTATTTGTACCTTAGTAATTTCGGGCCATTGGGGAAGCAGAGACTCCTCTGGCTTATTGAATCACTGTAGTATGATACTGTGGTAAATAGCTAGGAAAAAGAACCTCCTTCCAGAGGCTGAGGAAGTGTTAGTCTTGTCTTTTGGGACATAGCATACTCTGAGCCAAGGGACCAGTTTTCAAGTCTTGACTCACTTAACAAATGGCCAGTCAGTCTGTAGTCTGTGTGTCTTCCTTCCTCCTTTTTTTGTTTTGTTTTGATACAAGGTCTCAACTTTGTAGCCCTTGGCTGTCCTGGAACTTCCTATGTAGGCCAGGCTGGCTTCAGACTCCTAGAGAGCTGCCTGCTTCTGCCTCCCAAGTGCTGGGATAAAAGGTGTGAGTCCACACACACAGTATCTATCTTTCTATTTCTCAAAATAAGACATCTGCCTTCTTGGACTTAGCTGATAGGGCATTTATCACCCAGTAGCTTTCCCATAAGGACTCGGTGTTTCATCAGTTGCTTTGATTGACATGGAAGTGCCAGTCACCAGCGTTCCTGGTTTTGAACCCACACAACCCAGCACTGCCTTCTGCTTCTGCTTCAGATCTCACTGTTCATCAGGCTCAGCTTTCCTACCTCTGTCTCCCATTTATCTAAACCTTCCTGGTCCACTTGTCCCGGTGCCCATCGTCTTTTTCATCTCTGCCTGGAGTTGTTGCATGTGTGCTGATCTTCCATAGAAGGTGACCTTATTGCCAACATTCCACTTGGGATAATTACTGTCAGAGGCCTGTACAACCATGCTTCATAGAGCCAGAGGCATGAAGCAGACCTCTCTTGGACTAGGCATGTGGTGAACTAGCATGGATTGGAGTGTACATCTAAAATAAAATTGTAATGTCATTGTGTTTGTGTTCATAAGACTGCTTAAGCCCATCAGGAAAGAAGAGAGCAAAGAACACGTGCCTGTATTAGAAGTCAGTTGTGGAAGCTGGGCCAGTAACTAAATGGGAATAGCAGAAACAGCACACACTTTACAAAGCTTTTTTGTATGCTTTTTATGCTCATCATTCCAGCAGCCCTACAAAGAATGGATAGACTTGTACACCAGTTCGAAAAATATAAATAAACAAAATGGCCTCCAAGCCAACTAGATGGCAGTAAGCTTAGGTTCTTAAATTCAAACCCTCGGTGCTCGACACCAGGCCCTAATGCCTTTGCCATACCTTGACTTGTTCTCTATGGGTAGAAGTGGACTGTGTGCATAGAATTTGCTTGGTGCCAGTTGTGTAGGTACTCTTGGCACAGTTATTTATCACCGTCTTCTTTCTTTAATCTAGTGATGTGAATGTCCACTCAAGCTCTTTCCTGTCCTTTGGTTTAGGAGAAAGGATCCTGGGCTATGCTGAGGAGCCCTGCTATCTCTGGTTTGTCATGGAGTACTGTGAAGGTGGAGACCTCAATCAGTATGTCCTGTCCCGGAGACCAGACCCCGCCACCAACAAAAGCTTCATGCTACAGCTTACAAGCGCCATTGCCTTCCTGCACAAAAACCACATCGTGCACAGGGACCTAAAGCCAGACAACATCCTCATCACAGAGCGGTCTGGCACCCCCATCCTCAAGGTGGCAGACTTTGGACTGAGCAAGGTCTGTGCAGGGCTGGCACCTCGAGGCAAAGAGGGCAATCAAGATAACAAAAATGTGAATGTGAATAAATACTGGCTGTCCTCAGCTTGTGGCTCAGACTTCTACATGGCTCCCGAAGTCTGGGAGGGACACTATACAGCCAAGGCGGACATCTTTGCCCTGGGCATTATCATCTGGGCAATGATAGAAAGAATTACTTTTATTGACTCTGAAACCAAGAAGGAGCTCCTGGGGACCTACATTAAACAGGGGACTGAGATCGTCCCTGTTGGTGAGGCGCTGCTAGAAAACCCAAAGATGGAGTTGCATATCCCCCAGAAACGTAGGACTTCCATGTCTGAGGGGGTGAAGCAGCTCTTGAAAGACATGTTAGCTGCTAACCCACAGGACCGACCTGATGCTTTTGAACTTGAAACCCGAATGGACCAGGTCACATGTGCTGCTTAAACTCCAGGGCTGAACGTCTTGGGTGTTTTTAAACTAGGTGAGTGCTTTCTTGTTATTGTGCATACACACTCGCTGGGCTGGCTGTGTGTCCTGTACTGGGTTGGACTCTGGAGTTGCAGAGAAAATGCAGGGCCAGGAAGAAGTAAGTCTTGTTGATGCAGACTGGCCCCTAAGTCTTGGTGAGTGGAGATAGGTCAGATTATTTAAGTACAAAATGAGAAGTGAAATCTTTAAGATGAAATTATATAAGGCAGAATCTCCCAAGATTTTTAGAAACACCTTTTCTTATTATCAAGTAATAAATTCTCCCTGTAAAATGGTGCTGAAAGGAATACAGTTTTCAGAGCCGAACTCTGTCCAAACTGTGTTTTTGCTGATCATGTATCCAGTTCTAGCCACATGGAACCTGATGCTGGAGGACTTAATAGACCAATTTGGTTTTTTAGTGTGGAATATAGATAATATAGAGAGGAAAGAGGACGGATCAGCTGAAATACAGAACACAGTATCCAGAGATGTTTGATTTTTCTACCCAGAACAGTTAAGACTAGATCTGAGTTAGTCTGAGGTGTGGACAAGACAGGATATTGGAAATTGGCCACCATATATGCTAGATATTACACATACTGTAAGTCATTTATTCCATTTCCTATTAAATTAAGGGCATGTATAGCTTATCTGAATTCACCTGCCCCCTTTTCCTGGATTACTGAGATGACAGGTAGAAATAAGCTGTACTTAGAGTTTGCTGATGTCTTGAGATGCAGTGGTGGGGTAGTGCTGGTTTCATGGTCACAGCGATGGGCCAGCAGGCACGGGGCCTGGCTTCTCTGTAGCTCCGTGCCTCTGCAGGAGATGACTTGTACCGAGCTGAGCAGCCTGCACCTGTCTTGTTCTCCGTGGAGTGGGCTGGCTAGTGCTTTGATTGTATTCCTACCATAGCTTTCCATTTCCATCTTGGCCTCTGCATTTCAAAAAGACCTCTTAGGATTCAGATTTTCCTTGTATAAGAGAAAGGTTGTCATTGGGAAAAGGACCTGAATTTAGGTTAGGATTATGGGATTGTCTCAATTAACTGAGATCTGGGCCCTTATTTGGATCAGCACATGAGATTTGTACTGATTTCCAGGGCAAAGTTATAGCTAAAGAGAAGCGACTTCATCTAAAAGAAATAAATGCCCTTGAGAGGAGGGGGAAAGGTTAGGGACTTGTTTTTGGGTGCATGTCCCAAGCTCTTCGGTTCCTTTTGTTGTGACTCATTTGCCTGGCCTGTTCGCCCTGTCCTAGCAGAACACTTTGTGTGACTGGTGCCTCAGGCTTCAGGACGTGGTCAGATGAGCTGGAGCTGCCTAGCTAGAGAATCAGAGGCGAGAGTTAGAAAGGGCCTTCGACCTAGTTTCCCTTCCCATTGCCAGACTAATTTCAGTATTATTGGGAAACATTTTGCTAGATACCGTTTTAAACATAAATGATACAATAGTGGGCAAAACCAAAGCTTTGCACTTTCAAAGTTTCTATTTCATTGTGAAAAGAGACTGTGAGTGAACACAGATCTCCTGTTAGGAAAGGCTAAGTGTTGTATATAGGTAGGGTCTTTTAGACAGACAAGATCAGGGTGCCGCCCCCCCCCCCCCCCCCACACACACACACAGTGCCCTCTGACCACATGCTAATAGTTGAGGGAAGACATCTTGAAGACTTTGGAGTGGGGGAACAAGTATTATTACTGATCTGAAAAATGAATAGTGAGCTAGGAAAGGAGGATGTATGTACGAAAGAAAACAAGGAATCATCAAGTGGATTAGTTAAGCATTTTGTAATCCAGAAGAGGGTGCTGGGCCCTTGAAGCTATGTGAGCCACCTGACCTGGTCCTAGGACCCAAACTCAGGTCCTTGGGAAGAGCAGCAAGCCACTTAACTACTGAGCTCCCTCTCCAGCCCCAAGAAACATTTTTCAGTGCTCTCTTCAGATGGTTAATTACAATATACCAGTTAAATATTGTCTTAATTATATTTTATGAAAAATAACTCTTTTCAAAAACTAAAAGGTAACTAGCATTGTTTTTGCAAGTCTGTTTAATTCTTACCTTAATCATCTCATTGGTTCTGCATTATAACATGGTACAGACAACTCATCATGTCAGTTCTGGAAAACTCCATTGTATTCTAAGGGAGAATGAAAATGGAAAATGCAAATGCGTCCTATTGTCGTTAGGAAAAGTAGAGCTTCCTAAATTCCCAAACTAGATGGCGGGTTGAGAAGCAGTAATACGGACGGCTCTTTCTGAGGAATTTGCTGTGAAGAGGATCTGAGAAGCAGGTGGTAGTCAGAACCCTACAGAGACAGGGATTCATTTGAAGATTGTCCCAAATGAAGGGGCAGAACTTAAATTCCCTGACTTCTAGGTACCTTTCTGTTAGACTTGTCATGGCTGGGGAATTTGAGCATACCTGGTCCAATACCAACATGAAAAACTCAATTGAATAACATTTAGGTAAGTGCTGAATGAGTAGGTATTGTTGCTGTTTTGTAACAATGAGAAGAGGGAGAAATTGCACTTGGGGCTGGAAAGGTAGAATTCGTATGGAGAGATAATGGGCTATAAACAGTGTAGGGATTGAGTCTTATTTCTGTGGTTTATTGGCTATGTGATCAGCAGGCAGAGTATTTCACCACTTTGGGCCTTGGTTTTATTACTCACAAAACGGAATTAACCATGCATATTTTATAGGGGTTGTAGAAGTGCCCCAAACTAATTGTTTCAGTTAGGCTTTAGGTGTGTGCTTAGCCGAGGTGGAGGCACGTGCTTAGTAGCTTTCTTCTGTAAGAACATTGGGTGATTTGCCTTTAAACAAAGCCAACTTGTCCTGTTGATTGTTCTAGAAAGGCATATCTGTATTTAACAAGTACTCAATAAGGCCTATCTTTCTCTTATTTGTCACTTTTAGAAGAGAGTAATTTTAGTGAATCGTATCAGCCACAGCCTTATCCCAAGCAGGAAGCCAGCCAAACTGATGTTTCTGGTGCCATAACCCATACTTTCCCAGAGAGGGTGTTGTGATATGAGGGCCTTGTATTAATAACCAAGCTTGTGGTCCAATACACAGATTTCTATTATTAGGGCGTTTTGAAGCCGAGCTCTTGGGTGACATATTTGGAATGGACCGCTAAAGCCTGCTGAAGGAAATCAGATGTTGATATGACCTGAGGTATCTGTGGAGGGATGAGGTCATAGAAAATATTCTTCACTCCATATGAGGTCTTAGTGGTTGCTTAACATCAAAGAACTAAACCTGGTTTTTGTTGTTGAAGGTCATAGATCTAATAAGGTGTGGACTCTAGATTTTAACTCAAGTCTTAAGATATAGTCATAGTTGAATCCAGTGAATAATTTAGCATGGTCCAGCCTGACTTTGGCTGTCTAGCTCTAAGTATTCTGAAGTGCAGGCAAGGGTAAGAGAACTTAGTAGGTTTCCCATGGGAGGTAGTTTCTTCTATGAGATTTAATATTCTGGTCCAAGCCAGGCCTCAAGGAAAGGTGTGGTTGCTAAAGGACCAAGGCCTTTGATTTCTGTCCCAGAAGCTGATTTTAGCCTTAGTCTCTGAAGCATTGAATTGGACAGGGACACACACACACACACACACACACACACACACACACACACACACACACACACACAGCCTGTGGGGTGGGGGCAGGAGGAGGAACTTGCCACTCTGTGGCCTGAAGTAGATTATTGCATCCGTAAGAATGAGGCATTTAGTAGAATGATCACTTGGCTACAGGGGATCTATGGATTCACAATTTTGGGAGGGTGGTTCAGACAGACTTAGAACTTGTCTTTTCTGTCTTAACTTCTTTTGAGTCCCTGTCTCTAGAGTAGGGGTCAGTGCTGTATCTTAACCGGGTCTCACTAGCACTTCACAGAGCTGTGCCAAGAGAGAACTTTGGGGGAAGATGCCATCTTTGGTTCTTTCTTGTCCCAGGAAATAGAATTTGCCTTTGACTGTGATGACTTTGGCTTAGGGACCAGTGCACACACATGTCCTTAGGGCCTTATCTTTCTAGGTGTTTTGGAGTTTTCCTTCACAAATGGGGAAAGCTGGTTATCAGGTCCAGGCAGCTTCCTGGGGCATCCTTGTTGCCACCTCTTGATGGATGGCTCCTGCTCTCAGACTTTAGGAAGCTGAGCTGTCAGTTCTGTAATGGGTTGTGTACCCACCCAGGGGTCCTCTGTTCCTGCAAGCTGGATGGATGTGCAAACATCTGGAAGGAACAGGCCTGCCCTGGGGCTGTTGGTAGCAAGGCCCAGATGCTGCTCATACTCTCAGCTCTCTCTGGCATCCTTGATGCCACCCAGCAGAGATCGCATCCCTTGGGTAAATCTGAGGGACTCTGATAATCATCCAGCTGCCAGCAAAGCTGCCTAAAGGTTTAGCTTTCTTCCGACTCTCATCTCTTGGAACCCTAGGGACATGAAGACACTCCCACTGACCAAAGTAATAACTTCATGTTATCAAAGAAGCCTGTTTTGGGAGGCCTGTGAGTTGGGGCCAGTGACCCTTGCTCTTCTTCATCTCTATCCCTGAGTTAACTTATTCATGGACTTCATGTTGTTATGTACTTACTGTTCTACATCATCTGTTTAGTTATGTGTTTGTCCTCATTCTGTACGAGAGAGCAGTGCACGAAGAGTCAGAGTTTGATACAATGTGTATGTGGTCAGAGCTTCCATCCCTTCCAGTCTGCCTTCTGCAGTCTCTTGAAAACCACATTTGTGTGGCTCATGCTTTGAAAGCAGGCCATGAGTTCCCTTCCAGAAAGCTCTGCCCTCAGAGGCCTGCATACATAGTTCCTCCACAGACACAGCTCCTCTTGGCTGTGCATACCACAGCAGGACAACAGCCATTGTGTTGGGTGATGTCTGCCTGTGTCCAGATTTCTTTGGGTTACTCTGACACTGCCCTTTGGCAGGGGAGGCAGACTCAGGATAGAGACACCCATATAACCAAGGGGTGTTCTCATTTAAGTAGTG